TATTGGATGAACAGGTGTTGGGACGGGAACATCGCGGGGACAAAGCCAAGGTGATTTGGCCGGTGCGACAGATCCACCAGCGCGGGAGGCGCCTGCACAGCCTGATCGGGACTATCGAGGCGCGCTCGTTGCGAAATACGACCGGGTGCATCATCATCATGATCGGGTGCCTGCTCGCGGGCTCGGCGCATTGGACGCAGGCGAACATTTTCCGCCATATTCCGCTTTTCAGCCGGGCTGAGATCAAACTCCACGTCGCTCTCGCTCTGTGTGCCAGTCCGCCGCACTTGACCTAGTCTGGAATCGTCGGAGTCCCAGTCGCTCTGATCCTCGTCGTCTTCGCGGTCCGAATCTTCAGAGGAGCTGTCCTGTGCTGCAGCAGTTCTCACTGGCTCTGCGCTGCGCGACAGCCTCTTCGACCGCGACGCCGTCTTGGGACCCAGGTGTGACGTTGTTTTGCGACCACCATAGCCACGTTTCGGCTGCTTGAGCTGGCTGAGTTGAATCTCTGTCAGTTGGCGTTGAAGCTGAGTGTTGTCAATGGTCATCTGCTGCAACGGATTTACCGTCTGTGTTTGAAGCTCACGAAGCTGCGCATCCAACGCTGCGATAGCCGTGATCAACCTTTGCTTTTCGTTTTCGTACGCGGCAACCCTTGATTGGTATTCCAAGCGGGCAGGCAACAGTCGGCTTTCTTTGCGCTCCTTCTCCGCCGCGGCGGCCTCCTTCGCCAGGGTCGACTGCAGCCTTTCAGGTGTCGTCGCAATGTAGGCCGGAGCCGGTTTAGCCTTGTGCGTAGGATGTGCCGGCAGTGAGAGAGAAAACTTGACCGTCGTGACGACATCTTGGAACGTGAGCGTAACTCCTGTAAGTTTGCGGATTGCCCCGAAGGCCTCATGCTCGATGTATCGCTTGTCCTTCTCGAGAGGTGAGGTAGAGATGTTGCTGAGGGCCACGCTAGAAATATCTTGGATGGCAACCAGCTGCGAGACGGACTGTACAAACGAGGGCGACCCGGACGCTGACGGAGTGCTGGAGGTGGAGGCCTCCGCGTCGGAGGAACGGGACGAGGACTTGCTCCGAGTGAGAACAGGCGTAATGACGGCTGAATCGATCACCGGAGGAGTGTTCTGTCGATCCAGGGATGGAAGCGGGGCGGTCGGAGTTGAATCTGTATCAAGCAGGTCCAGCTCGAGTTCCGATGCAGGAGGGGTTGGATTCAGTATCCACGACTTGTAGAGCGTCTCATCAAGCGGCCAGATGCCAGTCAGTCGAAATCCTGCCCGGATGCATCGCTTTCTTCTCATCACCCTGTCCCAAGCGAGCAGGGCGCAATGAACTCTCATCTTGTCGTCGTTCTCGAACGCCTTGGACTCAATCGCCTGCTTGTAAAGGGTTTGCAAAGTGGTTTTGAAGAATCCAAACACTGTGCGGTCCAGCGGCTGCGATTCAGTGCTTGTGTGCGCGGGTAGGACAAGGACGTGGATGTCGCTTTCCAGAAAGCGCGCAAGCACGTCAGCCGACAGCTGGTGCGTCGACGACCCATCCATGACGAGAAGCAATGGCCCTGTTGTGTACTTTGCACGCATGGCTTCTTCCCAGGACGAGAGGTACTTGTGAAACAGCTCTTTTGTCATGTAGCCGTTTGGCGAGACTTCAAATACAGCCTTATTGTCACCCACATCTGCTGTCGCGCTGCGTATCTTGTTGTTTTTCGAGAAGATGATCATAGGCAAGGGCGGGGATGAGCCATCAGCGCAGATGGTGAAAACGCCCGTGATGTGCGCCCCGAGTGAATGCTGGTGCCCCCCTTGAACGACCGCAGAACGCGTGTCTGACGAGGGAGTGCAAATGACACGACCCGCAAAAAAACGGGTCGTGATTTCTGTCTCGTCCATGTTGGAAATCCGACCGGGCTCCTCCACAAGAAGCGGATGCTCATCGAACAGCTGTTTCAAAAGTCCGGGGAGGCAATCGAGTGTTTCAGCTTGTAAAGCGGCAATCCTGGTGAGCTCCAGCGTTCGACCCTTGCGGATGGCTAGGCGCCCGCGAGCATCGCGCAGAAAGGCATTCCACCATTCATGGCTCGGCAGACTGCCGGCGAACTGGCGACGCGGGGCGCCCGACATGCGCGGGAGGCGTGAGAGTTTCACAAGATAAGCGCCCGCCTGCTTCTGGTTGAGACACTGCCCAGCCCGGGCAAACCCCTCCAGCAGCCGGATACAGTACTCCAGTTCATCTTCAGTGAAAATGCTCTGTCCTCCGCACGATGGGCTCTCCTTGACGAGCTGGAGCACCTGATCGAGCGGGCTGGAACGAATCCACTCGGCCGAATCAGCGTGTTTCGTTTTCCAACCATGAACTGTGGTGTGACCGCACTGATAGCCCTGTTCCGCCAGCCGCGCGGCTATGGCCCGTGTTGTCCAGCCTGTAGGGCGATAGATTTCGCCCCCTTGAAGGGTCACAGAGTCTTGGTAGACAAGCTTGAGAGCGACTGCGACGGCAACATTGTGCTTTTCTCCTTCGGGCGCAGCCTTCACTGCCTGCAGCCACGCGAGACACCGAGTTGCCGCCTCGGATGCACCCGCCATCGATAAAAAAGAATGACTTTATTATAAATTCAAACTGGGGAGCAGATCAGAGACCACGAAGTCGACTTGTGACGCAAATACCAGTGTGTTCATATTCAAACGGAAAACCCTAATGTAGTCCAGCGAACACTTTTTGTTCATATTCAGGCGACCCCCCTCTACTGTATGGTTTGACAAAATAGAAATATTTCAACGATCGAGGACATGTCCTCTTCTTTTGAATTCGTTTGAAAAGGGGATTACATTTCTCTTAGCCTTTCTGCGAGTTGCAAATGAGATGACGTGAGTCATTCGAAAAAACACAAACACAACAAAGTCATTAAGCGAAAAAAACAAAAAAACAAAACAAAACAAAACAAAAACTCAGGTCAACAAAATCATTCGATATTTTTTTTCTTGTTCGCTTTGCTTCTCTTTCGGTCTTGTTCGCTTGTGAGTTTCTCGGCCTGACAATGCACTCTGTGTCATCGTAGTCCTCACCACCTCTTGTTCCGGATGAGACAAGCATGAGGCATCTGGCTTGCATAGCATTGAGGACATGTTGTTGGGGGTCTTTTTTCTTTTTTTTTTTTTCTTTTTTTTTTCGTTTTTTTCGTTTTTTTTGAGCTGGTTCTAAACATGACGAAAAAGTTCGCTGACGCTGCGACAGCCGCCCATTGCTTCGATAGCAAATACATGCCATATGGCTTAGTGATATTGTGGCGAGACGGAAGAGCTGCTTGCGTGCGTGCCTGGTGGCAGGGCGCGAGTTCTCGGTTTCGCTCGTTTTTGCTGCTGTCAACGGCGAAGTCATTGTTGGAGGCGCGATTGGGCAAGATTCAATGCCCGTTGACGCTACTCTGGCGCAATGTGGCGCAACTGACACGGTGGGCTACGACGAACCCAAAGGCTGTCTTCAGCGGTATGGGAGTGAGATGTTTTCTGCTGTTGCTGTCATGCTCTACAACTGACCCGTGGCTTCCCACCTGGACAGATTCAACGGCGCGACCCTGTCTTCCACCGGCTATGTATCTACCACCATGTACGCCGTACAAGGCTACGAAGGCTTTGGTGGAGGCACCCGACACACCGATGGAACGTACTTTGCATGTGGCGACGGCGCAACAGCGTCGTGGGATCCTGATTTCTACTACTTTGTCGCGCGATACGACGCGAGTATGAGTTTGATGTCGCGAGTCATGGAAACTGGACAGGACTGGTCCAGCCCCGCGAATGGTCACTCATCGCACTGCAACGCCATTGTCTTCTTTGGCAACAGTGTCTTCATTGCCGGTCAGGCGCGCTCGACCGGATTTGGAGACACTGGCGATCAGCTTACCCCGTACGTCGTCAAGTACGACCTCCAGCTGCAGACCCGGGCGTGGCGCTGGCGGATGCAGCTGCCGGCTCCGACGAGCTTGTCGGATGTGCAGAGCATCTTCACCGTGAACGACACTGAAACCTCGCGTTGCAAAATCTACCTGTCGGCAGCGAAGCAAGGCGTCGCTTGGCTCGGGCGTCTCGACTGCGAGACTGGCGCACTTGACTGGGAGACTGAGGTACCCAACGTGCAGGACGCAACGTTAACCGCGGCTGATCACCCGGTCTGGTTCTTGGCGTTCGGCACGTTTGCGAACGTGGGTTTGCAAGCGCTCGCCTTCAACAAGTCCTCGGGCGCGCTCCTCTTCACGACTTTGCTTGACGCCGCCGTCCCATCCCCACCACTGCAGGGTCGCGGGACGGCCTTTGACATGGCGACGCGGAGCATCTACTTGCTTCGGACAAACGCGACAGTATTCGAAGTCTTGCGTCTTGGCTTTTGCGGCGCGGGAGAAATCGTCGGGGCTGGCGGCACGTGTACGCCACACCCAGCAACCGTCGCATCAGTCGCCTCTGCTGCGTCTGCTGCAACGGCTGCTTCACAGGCCGCGTCTACTGCGTCTGCTGCATCTGCTGCTTCGGAGGCCGTCTATGCTTCAGTCCAGTCGGCCTCGTCGGCAAAGTCAGTATCCATCGCCGTTGCAGAGTCGTCTCGGCTGGCCAACGCACCGCGCGACAATGGCAGTTCCCCGGGTGCTGCAATCGGCGCAGCAATCGGCGGGGTGCTGGCCGTGATCGTCGTCGTGGTGGCTGTCGTGCTTTTTCGGCGTCGTCGGCGCGCGGGCAAGGAAGGCGATCGCTTCGTCGAACTCGCGACCCGCAGTGCCGTGTCGATGCAGGACAAGCCATCGACGCTCTCCGCGACCGATGACAGCGAAATGTACGCGCGGGTTGCTTGCCCACGCCCATCTGTGGCAGACAGCCCCATTGAAGAGGTCTCAAATGTGTCGATCGCCGCCGAGCGCATCTATGACACCAGCTCCCCACACAGCCGCTCGATTCGGAATGCCTTGGTCTTGGGCGCCGAGCTCGGCAAGGGTGCGTTCGGCGTGGTTCGCGCCGGCCTGCTGGCTCACACGTCCGTCCCACCTGCCGCGGCTCAGCTCGTCAATCCCAAGCACCCCGGACTGCAAGTCGCTGTGAAGGTGCTCAAAGAGGGTGCCGATGGCAAGTCTCGCCGCGACTTTGTCGCCGAGGCGCGAATGATGAGCCAGTTCGACAACCCGTGCGTGGTGCGCGCCGTCGCTGCGCTCCTTGAGGCCGAGCCCAACATGCTTGTGCTCGAGTTCATCCCGTACGGCGATCTGCGCGGTCTCCTCGTCAAGTCGAACGAAACTGGCATGCCTTGGACCCTCGCCGAGTCTTTCCACGTCCTTGCGCAGATCGCCGACGGCATGGCCTACCTCGAAAGCATTCGATTTGTGCACCGTGACCTGGCGGCCCGCAACTGTCTTGTTGGCGCGGGCCTTTCCGTCAAGATCTCGGACTTTGGTTTGTCGCGCGAGCTCGGTGACGAGAAGAACTACTACAGGGTCGAAACCAAGGGCCAACTGCCAATCAAGTGGATGGCGATCGAGTCCATCCTCTTCCGCAAGTTCTCCAGCCAGTCCGATGTGTGGTCGTTCGGCGTCGTGGCCTGGGAGGTCTTCTCCTATGGCCAGGTGCCCTATGGCGCCAAGCGGGGGCCCGACCTTCTCGTGTTCTTGGAGAGCGGGCGGCGGCTTGAGCAACCGGCGACGTGCCCAGCCGACGTGTTCTCAACCATGACGAAGTGCTGGGACGCAGAGCCAGCGCAACGCCCGCGCTTCACCGAGCTTTCGGCCTTCTTTGTCTCGCAGCGTCAGGATGGGTCTGTTCGCGATATTGGCCAGATGCTGATGTGAAGGTTATCCAAGGCAACGGACATGTGCCGATGTCAAAAGTTTTGGTCGTCCACCTGCATCCCAATGCAACTTTGTTCTCTATACTTTTCGTCTCGTTGTCTCTGCATTTAGTTCCCAACCACGCTAGGCATTTGCATCACCAACGCTCGTCATTTCAAACACCATGCACTCAATTTTATTGACCAAAGCGCAATACTGTGCGCATAGAGATAGCAGGCCTCAAAGAAGAGTTTCAGCTGATGCTTTCACGAAAAAGCTTGGCTCAATGATGGCGGTGGGCAAAATGCGCGTGACTGGTTGCAGTGCGAGTTTGATCGAACGACAACAACGAGCTGAGCGTGCTGACAGAGCGCATGAACTTGTCAAACTCGTGAAGCTCGACCTCCGCAGCTCCCAATCGAGATTGCTCAAACTGAGTACTAATGGCTCGCGCAACACCAGAATGGCTCGCCAGCGGCGGCGCATGTTGGCAAAGCGCCTGCAAATATCTCGCACGATCGCCGGGACGTTTCGTCAAGACGCGTCGTATGTGCCGCAATCTCGGCTAACACAAACAAGAAAAACAACCATCACATGCAATAAACCCATCAAGCGCATATAGAAAGCAAGTGAGATGCCAGTGAATGAACGAACACGCAACACAAACAAACAAACAAACAAACAAACAAAAAAAAAAATAACAACAAAACAAACAAAACACTTTACCCAGCGAATCGAGCGCACGCGCCATATCTTGCTGATAATTTTGCTCAATCATGTTGCCTTGGTCGTCCGCTGCAAATTGGCGCCCATGCGATGGTTCCGCGATGAGTTGACCCGCAAGTTCGAAAACTGCAAAAGCACACAAAAACACAATACCCACCGACTAAACGCCAGCCTGGATTTCTTGAAGCGTGATGTGGTTGCGGTTCAATCTTGGTGGCAGCTGTTTCTTGCAGTGCTGCTATTACGAATTGGTTTTCAAACTGTTTCACAGCAGAACGTGTGCAGAAGTTGAGCACGAATCCATCCACTCAAAACAGAAGTTGAGCACAAATGCGATAACAAAGTCGACAAAGCGAATAATATCAAACTTGCACTTGTTAAATCGCCCCATGCGAGTGGCATACACCGCTGAGGTGCTCGCTGTCGAGAAGCGAGGCGTTTGCGTTGTCGGTACGCCCATATGAAGACAATGAAGAATCCCTAGAAGAAAAAAAAACAACGCAATGCAGCAGCAGCGGCAGCGGAATCGGTCAGTTCAAGTCAAGTCAAGTCAACAAACGAACTCGAGCCTGCACACACATGACTTGCTGGGTCAACGCACGCACTCACCAGGCTCGCGTAGATGGCAATGATGGAGACAAACAGGACGCTGTTCTCCGCCGCGTCCGCCATTCGCCGCCCTCTCGTTCAACGCCCACCGCCACAGAGGCCAGGCGCGACTCTACCAGCAGGGTGCAAGTCGAATGTGACGGTGCCAAAGCGAGCCCCAAGCGGAAACCAGTCAGTCGGTCAGTCAGGTCAGGTCAAGCGAGGTCAGGTCTGTTCAGTCAGGGTTTTCGCCCCCCGCCCCGTTCAGTTCGGTTCTGATGACGGATGGACTGTTGGGGGTTTTCTGAAAGTAGACTGAGAATGTC